CGGCAACGCTCTCCACAACTTCTTGAACCAGTGGCGGGTTGTGGTGTTCGCGGCTCGCTCTTACTGCGTTCTCAGTCCAGATGCCTGTCTTGCACATAGTGCAGGAGTGAAGTGGGCAGTAGGAAGATCGGTTCCCGCTGGGCGATCGGACCACAATTCCGAGCACGGAGCGAGGGCTGAATCGCTGAGAGGGAAAGGTGGCGACCTTGGTTACGTGGTGGTCGATCCACGAGAGCGAGTACTGTACATGCTCTCCTGATTACCTGTGACGATCTCTCGCCGCCCTCTTGGATGCGCTGACAGACAACCAGTGCACAGAGGCGAGGAGCGAAAGATGTGAGGGCTTGACCCTTTGAGTTGCAACGCGTCTATAAACCGGCGGCAGTTAACAGATATGAGGGTGCAAGCCGGGCGAATGCAACTGGGTGCTCTTACCGCGCACTCCGTCCAGTTGATTAAGCATTCCAGGCGTGAGTCCTAGGTCACAGATGCCGTTAGACACCAATTCAGTCAAGACAGTATGAGGGGCTACACTCTGCTGCGCTGCTACAGCGATGCATGGTCTCAACACTTGCCGCGATGTGCGTCTTCTCTCGAGAGTGTAACCGCGGTGAGGGGCACAGTCACTATGGGCCAGAACCGCTTGGCTCGTAGGCATTGGAATGATATCTGGGATGCGTAGCAGATGATTTTACGTGATACTCCTCGGCGTGGTTACTGTAACGTTTAACTGGCTCCAACATGTGCCCCACGGTCTGCCAACATCGGTGCAGCGAAGCGGCGCTTCTCCGTCAAGGTAATCCTCGCGGCACAACACGACGCACCATGAGGCACATTCCAACCAGCCTAACCCAACCAGGCTCCGCCAGAAACCAGAGGTGTGACGCACAGTCACCTTATTGATTCCTCGCTATTCACACCGTCCCAACAAAGGTCTGCACTGGCTCAGCCATGACCTGCACCCGCAACTTTCGAACACGGTCCCCATGCCGTGGATGCCCGCCATAAGCCCGCCACGGGACGCCACCCTTCAGCCACGCACTCAGTCCCGCGGCTTGGGGACATTGCACAAAACCCCTTACCATCTCACTCATCCTGTGGTAGCCCTCCGGCACCGTTGACGCGCAGGAAACATCTTCCGGCATGCGCAGCTGCCACAGGCCACCTCCTCAAATGCTCTCGCGGCTCATAAACCAGAGTGTCGAGCTCAACTCAACAAGTAGCTGGGGGCGTCTAGCTCAGTTGGTAGAGCGCGTCATTAGCATCTAGCTAGCATTGACGAGGTCTTTGGTTCGATTCCTAAGTCGTCCAGCAACACTTTTTGCGACTTCTGCAAGCGTTTTGCGACCTCCGGAGCGTCGAGGGAGCACGAAAGATGAAGAAATCGTTGAGGAACGATGTTGTCAGCCGGTGTGGCACTGGATTGTGTTTTGTTTGATTGTTGGGGCGCAAGTTTACTAGCGTGCTTCCATGTCCGTCTGCGGCAGCCCCGATGTGACAGACGCTGACATCAGACCCCGTGCCTTCTGCACTGCCGAAACGCGGCAGGCAACTGATTCAGCACCTGACATTCCCTCATCGGCCGCACAATGGCCTCACCGACCAGCTCGTCCGAGTTGGGTTACCAACACTCCCAGTGCTTCGCTGCGCCATCAACCTATGCGTCGACACGAGCGAAGTCGACGGGTTCGTCACGACCGATGGGGACCACAACACTTGGCGGGGTGCGGGCGCTTGGCCTGACGGGGCACCGGAGGCTCCAGACCCGAAAGACCTGCCCACCTGCGGATGGACGTCCCACTCATCCCGAACCGTTCACCCGCGATCTTGGCGCTCGACTTCATGAAAGAACGAGGTTGCGACGGTGGTGATGTCAAGCTGTGACATATGGTGAACCCCTCCTGTCCAGAGGACGTTTCTACGCATGATAAGCAAACACTATGGCCATCAACGACCATGTTACTCCCCCCGAAGCCACCAGAAACCATCTAGTTGTCATCCTAACATTCTTCAAACATCCGAAGTCCACTGATGTTCATGCTCACGACGCGACGAGGACCTCAGCGGTCATGCCCCGTAACGAGCTTTATCACCTCGTTACGGGCCACCTGTCGGCCGGGTCCGTAACGAGGCTCGATGTCCCTGAATTTCACAGGGACGGAAGGTGGCATCTGGCCCAGACGCAAGATGTTGATGTAATGTTCGCGGTAAGCGCGCGCAAGATCCGGATTTCCTCGCGTTTCCTTCGCTTCTTCTCGCCTCGAGGTAGTCTCTGCCGTGCGGGATGCCGGATCTGTGCCGGCTCGGCACGCGGCGAGGCTGGAACAGTTCATATACGATTGCCCTGGTGGAGTCATGTTCGGTTTCTTGACCTTTTCTCGCTTCACACCTTTCACACTCCAAAAGTTCGACTAGCTAGAGACCATGGCCAACGTCGAAATCTCCGCACCGCGGAGCACGATTGCGCGCCGGCCCTCGCACTCTGGGGTCCCGGCGCCGCGCGAGGTGCGCTCTGTCTACATCCCCTACCGCGGGGACAAGGACGTAGCGTCGCCGCTGCCCTCGCTCCCGCCGAGTGCTTACCCGAGTACGACGAACATGGCCGACCTGAAGGACGAGTACGCACACGAGGAGGAGCGAGTCGGCACTCCGCCCCAATCTTCCCCGGACATGTCCCGGAACTCCTCCATGGCCCATTTCGACATTGACGAAGCCGGGGGTCGCGAGCTGCCCTCCCTCCCACCTGTCGACCGAGGGGCCAAGGCGTATTCCTTCCTCGCCGCCGCTACGCTCGTCGAGACGGTCGTCTGGGGTCTGCCCTTTTCCGCAGGCGTGCTGCACGAGTACTGGATGTCACACATGTTCCCGGACAACGATTCGACGCTCACCATGGCCGCGACGCTGCAGACATCGCTGATGTACATGAGTGCGGCGTTCCTGGGACCGTAAGTACCCTGATTGTCCTCGTCTGAGCTCCGACTGACGTTGCAGAATGTTTACAGCCATTCCCCAGTGGTCCAAGCCGCTGCAATGGGTCGGCCTCCTTGTCGCGACCGCGTCTCTGATCGCGAGCGCCTTCGTCTCACAGGCCTGGCACCTGATCGTAACCATCGGCATCTTCTACCCCTTCGCCGGCGCGCTGTACCTCCCCTGCGCGACGCTCGTGTATGAGTGGTTCCAGGACCGCCGCGGCATGGCGACCGGTATCCAGATGAGCGGTACGGGCGTCGGCGGGGTGGTGTACCCGCTCGTCGTATCCGCCCTCCTCTCTCGGTTCGGGTACAAGGCTACCATGATCTCGCTGGGCCTCGGGTTCTTCGCGCTCAACGCGGGCGCGCTCTGCTTCATCCGCCGCCGCATCCCGCTCGGTAAAGGCGGAGCGAGGCGCAACCGGCCCAAGGTCGACTACAGCTTCCTCAAGCACCCCGCTGTCTGGATCGGCATGGCCGTCATCATGTGCACATGCATGGGCAACTTTATCCCGTCGCTTTGGATCCCGACTTTTGCCGACGTCGTGCACGCCCGCAAGCCGAATGGAACCGCTCTCGTGGCTATCATGAATGCGGCCTCTGTGCCGGGTAACGCTGTCATGGGATACATCTCAGACAGATACCCCAGCCGCTATGTCGTTCCAGCCTCATGCACCACGGCAGCCGTCGCCTGCCTCCTCCTCTGGGGCTTCAGCGCCGGCGTCACCGCCGAGGGATGCCTCACTGCCTTTGCCGTTGTATGGGGCTTCACCGCGCTCTCCTTCGTCGGCCTGTGGAGCAAGATGATCACCGTCATCTCCAAGGACGACCCGAACCTCCCCGGTCTCCTCTTCTCCCTCTTCACCATCCTGAAGGGTGTCGGCAACCTGACCTCCGGTCCAATCTCGACCGCGCTCCTGAAGGGCGGCGCCTTCGCCGGCGCAGCCGGAGCGTATGGCAAGACCAACTACGGCTCCCTCCTCATCTATACTGGCGTGACGACGTTTGGAGCGTCACTCTTCGCCGCCTTCTTCCCCAACAAATAGAATCTAGACTGCCCGGTAGAGATAGAAATCATAAGAGTCCATATGTATGGCAGTGTACAACAGTGTCTACTCGTCGTCCTCGTCGCTCTCCACTACTCGCCGCCGGGACGTGCCGCCCCGTGTTTGCCGCGCTGGTGGGGCCGTCGCCTTTGGTTGCCGCTTCGCTGCCCGCCGCTGCGCCGCCTTCGTCTTCTTCATGACATCCGCCTCGAGCGCGGCCTCCTCGAGACCCTTCGCCTGGTGCTCGTTCAGAATGTTCTCAAACTCCTTGAGCTCTGTCTCCGGCTTACCCGCGCCCTTGTTTGCACGTGCCTTGGCGAGGATCTCCGAGAAGCGCTTGAAGACCGTCTCCTCGTGGAGCTTGTCCTGGTAGAAGGGCAGGCCCTCAATGAGCCTCTTCATACTGCGCTCCGACTTGAACGGCAGGAGCGACAGACAGAAGGCAATGTCGCGCCATTGCCGCTCATCGGCAGCGAGGCGGAATCGCTGGCACAGCTTCTCGACGAGCGCCTCGGCCTGCTTTTCCTTCTCGATAAACGTGAAGATGAAGCGCATTGTCCGCTCGAACGTCTCCTCGTCGACGGCGTGCGCGCCGATGGACAGGTGCGAGATGACGTCCTGCAGGTTGTTGTACAGCGCGTTGTCCTTGGTCGAGAGTTCAGTGAAGAAGAGCTTGGCGAGGTCCGAGATACGCTGGTCGGGGTCCTCCAAGCACTTGGCCATCTCGCCGAGCTGACCCTTGACCTTGATCATACCATTCAGGATAAGATGCGTGAGAACCATGAGCGTGTTCTTCTTGACGATGGGATCGGGGTCCGTCAAACCCTGGTACAGCCTCTCGCTGTTGTCGTCGATCAGGCTTCCCCAGCAGACGGCAATATCTCCGAGAGCGATGACAATGTTGGAGCGGACGACGGGGTCGCGGCTCGTCTCGAGGATCTTGAAGAGCAGCAGGAGGTGGTTCTCACAGAATTGAGCGCTGACGCACATGAACTTGGTAAGGGCGAGGACGGCGGCCTGGCGGAGGGTCGGCGACTTGTAGCGCTTCGGGCTTGCACAGATCGCCGCGATGAGAGGGCCGTAGACAGCAAGAAGGCTCTTCTCACCATAGAGCAGCTCGCGCTCACGGATGGTCTGAATGAGATCGCCGATGTCGTCCTCGGCGTTTCCAGTGACAGCGTCAAGGTCATTGTCGTCCTTGTCCTTCTTCTTCTGGTCGGCCTTCTCTTTGGCCTTCTCCTCCTTGCGGCGCTTGAATTCGCGCTCGACGAGCTCCAGGTAGACGATGTGCTTCAACGCAACGTGTCCAACGGTGAAAACGAGCTTGGCGAGGTCGAACGCTCCAACCTCATCAGGCTTTGCCTCCTGCGACGACTGCGGGTCAATGGTTGCCTGGGTCGCCTCGGCCGCGCCCGTAATGGTTTCATCAGCCTCCTCCACGTCCATGGACGAAGTGCTCGATGCATCGTCGACCTGAGAAGCCGGCTTGGGGGCGTAGAAAACGCGAGCCGTGAGGTCCTTGATGATCGACGCGCAAAGAGCATCGGGCTGCTGACCAAGCAGGTAGATCGTGTTGAGAGCCTGCTCAGCCATACCGAACCACTGCGGCGAGCGGGTCGAAATCTTGATGATGTTCTCGAGCTTGGAGAAGACAGCGTTATCCATCGGGAGACGCATTGTCTTGTCCTTGAGCGAGCCCTTGACCTTCTTGGCGCTGCCGCCAAGACGCTGGATAGCGACACAGGTGTAACGGGCAAGGACGAGGTCGTTCTGGCCGTGGTGGCCGAGACCAACCTTGAGCAGCGAATCAACACGCTCAGTGACGACGTCACGCTTGGCGATAGCAAGCATGCCGAGGATGATGATGGCACCCTGGCGCTGAGCTTTGGGGATTTCCTGCTCGGTGCTGTAAACCTGCCAGAGCTTATTGATGACATCCGGGTGCACGCCTCCCTCCACCATCATGGTGCGGAGAAGCTCCTCGAGAGACGTGAGCTCGGCGAGCGTGGCTCCATAAGTCCGCTCGATCATGTTCTTGGCGATGCGGTTGACTTGCTGCTTGGGAGTGAGGTCCGGCACGACGTCAAAGTAGAGGGAGCGGTAGACGTCGAGGAGGTTGCCACGGACGGAGCGGCCGTCAACGCCCTCTTCCGTAGTCGTGTTGTGGTCCTTGGTCCAGATAAGGTGGAGCATGGTCTTGATGCCCTGTTCAGCACCGTTAACGTTGTACTCGTAGGCGGTGCGGAAGAAGCGCATGCTCTCGAGCACCTCGGACTTGTTGGTGGAGACGAGAAGCTGGCAGAGCGTCGGGATGGCGGTCTCAATCTGGTTGATGAACTTCAGCGCATCCGAGTAGTACTTCTTGGTGAGGCGCAGGCGCATGATGGTCTGTGCGTCTAACGAGGACTGCTCAGCCTCAATGGCAGCGACGTTGAGCTGAGACTTGCGAGGCTTCTTCTCCTTCTTGACCTTCTTCGGAGTAGCTTCGCCGTCGACGGACATGTTGCCGTTGCTCTTGTCACCGTCCTCATCGGACTCCTCGGCTTCCTCCTCGTCGTCTTCGTCCTCGTTTTCCTCGTCACCTTCCTCATCCTCGTCCATGCCGGCGTCGCGACGCGCCTGCTCCATCTCGTGCGTGTCGACCTTCTCGAGCTCTTCGCAGACCTTCTCGTAGCGCTCCTCCCACTCAGGCAAATTGAGCGTTCCGCCGTGCAGAGCACCAAAGGGATGCGTCTCGAGAAGCTTGCAGAGTAGCTGAATGGCGTAACGACGAGCGGACGAGGTCTTGTCTTCGAGTGTGCGGATCGTGAGGTCGGTCATCTTGGCACGCTGCTTGGGGAACTTGACGGGCAAATCGCAGAGCTTGATCAAGGTCGTCAAGACCTTGGAGCGGACGTACGAGTTCAGGTCGAGGAAGCGCTCGAACAGAATCTCGAAGAAGCGCTTGACCTGCTTCTGCTTCTGCTCCTCGTCGCCGTCCTCGGTCATGGAGAGCTCCTTGATGAGCAGGCCGGTAATCTCGACCAGAGCCATACGCATGGGGTGTGCCTGATGTCAGTTGCGGAACACGTTTAAAAAGCTTACCTCGCTGTCAAGGTGCGCGAGCAGGAGAGGCATCTGCTTGTGGACTACTCGGGGGCAAAGCTCGCCGAGTCGGACGAGGAAGCGGGAGAATGACCTCGGACCCTTGGCATCGTTGTGAGGGAAAGTCTTGGCCGCAACCTCGCGAAGAACCTCCTCAGCAAGCTGGGGGTAGTCGAACTCCTTCTCGAGGATGGCGAGAAGCTCAGCCATCGGCTCGCTCAGGTGTTCGAAGTAGGTGAGGTTCTGGATGACGGAGGTCTGGGCGCCGAAGGCGTGGCCATGGAACTTGACGGCCAGACAGATGACCTTGTAGATGCCGAGTCGGATTTCGTTGACCTTGAGGTACGTCTCGATCTCGCATAATTGGTACGCGGGCTTGGTGAAGCACGAGACGAAAGCCTCACGCTCACTCGATGTTCGCCAAATGCGCTGCGTCGGCACGCGGAGGGCGCGGTGCATCGTGAGCAGAACGAGTGGAAGGTGGTCCTCCCACTGGAAGGCGGTGTTGGCGCCGCGGTTGACGGGCTGCTTCTTCGCCTTCGTTTTCCTTGCGCCAGGGACATCGTCTCCGGGCTGTCGGCCCGCGCCCTTTTCGGCAGCGTTCACAAACCACTGAAGGAGGAACGCCCAGCGCTCGAGCTGCGCGCGGTGTTGAAGGGGTGCGTCGATATCCGAGTCGTCCATTCCTGGAGCGACAAGCGCCATGACGGCGTTGGAGTGGTGAGTCAAGCCAGAGGTGATCGCATCGAGGGTCTTCTGGAGCACGGCTCCGTCGACCGTAGGCGATGCGGCATGTTTAAGGACAGACGCGAAGATGTCGAACGTCTGCTCGCCGAAGTGGATGATAGCGTCGGGGTCGTGAACAACAGCGTCGATGGCCGAGGACAGGAAGGCGTCGATAGCGTTCGCGGACAGGTCGGGGACATCGAGCTCGTTGTTGATCGGGTACAGGGAAGGGTCGGAGGAGAGCGACAGGAGCTCCTCCTGCAGATTGAACTCCATCGCGGGCAGAGAGGAGGTCCTATGGGGATCTCTTCGGGCTCTCTGTGTCGTGGGGCGATGGGTTGTCGAGGTTGTTGTCGAACGACGGGCGGAACGTTGCTTTGTTATCGTCAAAACAAACCGCGAGCGGCCAAAGTCAGTCGCCCTGACCCTGGGTGTTGTTGACATCCACAGCCAGGTCCGCTTTGCTCCCGTCGCTTAGGGTGATACTGGATGGGCGTGGTGGTCACGTGGCAAAACACACGTCACCGTCCGTCGATTCCAGCCGCGCGTCGTGCTTGTCATAGATCGGTCCTCACCTCACACCCACGACTCCGTCACACCTCGTTCGGCCTCCAGCGCTCGCCACAACAGCACCGAGACCGAGACCGACCACCCTCGACAGGACTTTAGAACGAGAGCACCACCCGATATTGTCTTAGAGCTTCCAGAGTCTTAAGCTCGACCCGCAACCATGAACCATGTGAGTCTGACGTCGCTGACATCATGATGGTCACTGAGTGCTGGGTGACATCGCGGTGTCTGCAGCTTCCGGTACGCTATGTGTATGCTAGCAACAGCACCCTGCCGCCTGGGGACAGCCCCTCACTGCCCACCAGCAGTTCGACATGTACTCTACGATCCCCGTCGGTCGTGCCCCGCCAGTTGCTCACGCCGAGCCGGTGTCGCACACTCAGTAGGTGCCTTCCTGCTGGTCTTGCTAACCTACCAGGCAGCCGTTGGTCACTGGTACCTCAGTCATTGGACTGAAGTACAAGGACGGCGTGATGCTTGCAGCGGACAACCTTGGTGGGTCCTGGTCGCTTCTCCGACATCTCAACTAACGCCAGCGTCTTATGGATCTCTCGCTCGATTCCGTGACATCGAGCGTCTGAAGGCGCTCGGCACGCACACCGTTCTCGGAGCTGCGGGCGACATGTCCGACTTCCAGTGGCTGATGAAGGAGCTGAACGGCCTTCTGTAAGCTCAATGACGTGTATCTGAAGCTAACATGCAGGCGAGAGGAGGAGACGCTGAAGCTGAGCGACAACCACCCGGCCCTGGCGCCGCGCAACCTGTACACCTTCCTCGCGAACCTGTTCTACGCGCGCCGGTCCAAGATCAACCCCCTGTGGAACGCGTGCATCATCGGCGGCTGGGACTTTGAGAAGGACGAGCCCTTCCTCGGCTACGTCGACCTGCTGGGCACGACGTACACTGCCCCGACGCTCGCGACCGGATTCGGCATGCACCTCGCCCAGCCGCTCCTGCGCGAGGCGTACGAGGCCAAGGCGGGCATCGACGGCAAGGGAGACCTCCTCACGGAGGCTGAGGCCGAGGCCGTCCTCAACGAGTGCATGAAGGTGCTCTACTACCGCGACGCGAGGAGTATGAACAAGGTGAGTCGGGGCATCAGCTGTGTTCGGGTGAGTATCAAGCTGACATTCTACAGTACCAGCTCGCCAAGGTCACCAAGGAGGGTGTCAAGATCTCGGACTCGAAGAGCGCCGAGACGTACTGGGGCTTCGCCGAGGGGCTCCGCGGTTACGGATCCCAGACGCAGTAGACGCAGCAGACGTAGATGTAGATAACCAGACATGGGATGTAGCAGTGAACATAGAACCAACTTGCCCCATCTCTATGCTGAAGGAGGCAGAAGAACCCTCGGTCAGCGGCTCTCCGATGAGCGGTCAGTGTCGTGGCAGAGGATAGATGGCGCGGGATACTGACGACTGCAGTATAACTTGTTTGCATGACATGATAGTTGGACCAGGAGAACGCCATGTGCACTCCAGAAAGACGGTCCCCAATTTCCGCAGGTAGAGTGCTCTACGCTCTATGCTGAGGTGTGTTCTCGACAAGGCAAGTTCGATCAACTTACCAATGTCATATCCTACGAACCATGACTGTGGCATGCAACACGCACGCGAGCCTCAGGCACACTAGCTCAACTTTTACGCATCCTTCTCTTCCACCAAAACTTTGCAACGGGTATGGTACAGTCATAAAACCCACATACATCCCAGAAACCTATAGAAAGGCGTCTAGGCAGACGCGGAGACGCGCTTAGTAGACGTAGGCAAGGATCTTGCCTCCGACGTGGCGCCTACGGGCCTCCTCGTGGTCCATGATGCCGGCCGAGGTGGTAAGGATGATCTTACCGAACGAACGGGCGGGGAGGAGCAGGTTGACCCAGTTCTCGATGGCGTCAACGGCAATGTTGAAGCGGGGCGAGATGACACCGCACTTGTTGAGACGACCGTTGAGCTGGATAACGACCTTGCCGCCACGGTGGTCGTCAACGAGCTCGAACTCGCCGATGTAGCCTGGTTTGTCAGCTTTGGATCTGATACAACAGGTAGCTCGAGGACATCAAATCGATAGCCGGACCTGCTGGAAGCTCCAGCTAAAGGAAATCCTGCCATCCGCCGTGACCGCCGTGATCTGTTCTCTCCCAATCAGCCCATACTGCCGATGCCGCGGCCGTGCGGCCTTCAGCTGGCAGCAGGGATATTTATGAAGAGTGTTGCTCTCCCGGAGATCTAAAACCCGTCCTCGGTAGACATGGCGTGGAAGGGTAGTTATACCCCGGGGTGGTGAGAATGGTAGTGTGTCGCGTCGTGTGGTGCGATTGATTGGTGTCCGGATCGTTGACGGTTGGCAGTTCCTTCACTGGTCCAAATTCTCCATCGATTGATGTCCATCGCTGCAGCTAGACTTACCGTGCTTCTGGAAGACGGAAAGGACCTTGATGACGACCTTCGACGAAGGGCGGATCAGGACCTGGCGCTTTCCACGGCGCTCGGCGTTGACTGCAAGTTAGCTAAAGACCGACAATCGAACAGCTCTCAGCAGAAGCGATCCAGTTCAAGTCGCGTGCGCAAGCACATCCCTCCGTACTGGCTCGCTTCCTGCTCCTGCTGCAATGTCTACTCACCCATCGAGTTGAGGGCGTCGTTGAGAACGGAAACACGGACCATTTTGACGAAGTGTTGTCGGTCTGGGGAAGAGTCAGCAAAACTTGTTCTTGATCTTGTCGAGCCACGACACCGAACCAACGCACAGCGGTTTTAAGACTGCGGGTTTGGAAGGTTTGAAAGCTCTTGCACTCGATGCGGGTGTGCGGATTAAGGCAGCCGTAAGGAGTGGGGGTCAAAAGCACCTTTTGGGAGAGTTGAGTGAAGGCGAGAGTCGAGGTAGCGGACACGAGCACTTTGACACTTGCAACTGCACAGAAATCGTCGCCTGCCCCCGCCCACCATGCACCCAGGCTGTCTGGCTGCGACTGGCAAGGGCGAGTCGTGCCTGGCGAGCACATGCAACAGTTTTTCGCCGGTGAAACGCCGTCCAGTAGTGGGTGTGGCACTTTGCGGCTTCCACCACGTGGCGACATTGTTGACATCACCGCGCCAAGTTCAGATTTCGGGTGAGCCTGGTTGACTGTGTCGTTGCGACTGGACTGAACCGACTGCACAACATGAAGCAGCCGAAGCAGGCCAAGGTTGCGACAGGCCAGACCATTCGCGACAAGGCGAAGGAGCGCGCCGCTCTCAACCGTGATGTCGTCAAGCCCGTCTTCGCGAGCCCGTTCACCGTGCCATGGTGAGCTAATTGTCGTAGGCCATTGAGCTAACCCCAGGCCGAACACGCCCGCGCACCTGCTGAAGGCGATCATGGCCGACCTGCCGCAGATAATCCCGCAAGAAGTGGCCGACTACCACGTCTCGCGAGCGCGGTGCTCGAAGGCAGCGAAGCGAGCACGCAAGGCCGCCGAGGGCAAGGGCGAAGCCGCTGACGCTGCGAAGTCCGTCGCGGCCAAGGAGTCCGAGCCGGTACCGGCGGAAGCGATCCGGCCAGAGATTCTGGACCACCTCGTGCTCGGTCTGAATGAGGTGATCAAGGCGCTGGAGCAGGCAACGGGACAGTTGGAGGCGCAGCTCATCGAGCTTGCCGACGCGATCGAGGGTGTGCCGTCTCTCCCTCGCTTCCTCCCCACAGAGCCCACGGAAGTCAAGGCTGTCGGCAAGGTGAAGGCGCCGGCAGCTCCGCTCTCGCACGTTCTCGTCCCGCAACTGTCTGTCTCGCCGATGGCGCTCGTCGACCCCATCCCGGCGCTCTGTGCGACGTATAATACGCACGTCCGACAGCTGCGCGTGCTGGCCAAGTCGGCGCCGGCGGGCGTCACCGTCCCGGAGGTCGCGGAAATCCGGTTGGTTTCGCTGGGACGAGAGGAGCCTGAGGTATCTGCGCTTGCTGGTCTTCGACGAGTGGCGTGCTTCGCTGTGCGCCAGTCGCATCCCAACGCCTGCGTTCTCGACGGACTGTGCAAGAATATCCCTCCGCCGCGGCACAGCATCACGCTGCCCTTCCCGACGCGCCTGCGCATCATCGATGGCAAGGACGCTGGAACGCCGGCTAAGACGAACGGGAAGGAGAAGGAAGTGGCAAGCAAGCTACCCGAGACGCCGGTGGAGTACGCTCCGCTACACGTTAAGGCGCTGCACACTACGATGCCACTGGACAACAACGCGCGCAAGGCCGTGCGTCTAGAGGAGGTGCGGAAGAAGCGCGCGGAGAACAAGGCGAAGCGCCGCGAGGCGCGCGAGGCCCTCGAGCGCAAGGTGCGCCTCGATCTCGGACATGCGCGCGGGAAGGGACGTAAGGCGCGCCTCGCCGAGAAGGCGGAGAAGGCAGCGGCGAAGGCGGCCGAGTCCGGACCGGCGCAGAAGAAGGCGAAGAAGTAGATTCACCATAGCACACTTGTACCAGTACCAATATCGCATTTGCATAAGCCACAACTGTCGCTGCATTGAGACTACTTGTACACGGGTTACATTGCAATGACCTTGAGAGTGGGGACTACCAAAATAGGGGGTGTTACATGATGTACTCTGGTCGCGGACGGGCGGAATGCAGCGAGAGGCGCGCGACTTCATCGGCCGCGGCGTCCTCTGCTGACGGATACCGTCTTCCAGGACCAGCGAGAATGAAGTCGACCTCGGGGATGCTCGGCGGTCGGGTCTCGGCATGCCGGACGAGCGGGTGCGAGTCGAGCGGCAAGATGAGTCGGTATCTGGCATGTCAGCTGAAACCCACGCTTCGCGCAGCTATGCTATTCATTACAGGCGGCCTAGGCCCGAAGTTGGAGTAACTCACGCATCTTTTCCGTTCGAGTAGAACCGGTGCAGCCGCTTCTCGCGCACAAAGCCGAGCGCCTCGTACAGCGCTAAACTCGGGCGATTGTCGTACTCGGTCTCGAGGACGATCTCGTGCGCTCCCCGCGCAGCCATCTCGCGCACTGCGAGCTCGACCAGCCGCCGCGCAATCCCTCGCCGCCGCCAGGCTGAGTGAACAGACAGCATGCCGATGTATCCTCGGTCGGTGCGGTCGCGATGCGGCTCTTGCTTGCAGATGATTGTCGCTATTGGCTTGGGGTCGGTGGGCGACGGATACACCTGGGGTTAGGCATTGCAAAGCTCGACCTGGTGGAGATGAGATGTGGGCTGAACTTGGAGCGACGGTGCTTTCAGAACAGCAGGCGAGATCACCTTAGCCCGTCCTCTTAATCTGGAATGACGTTACCTACAAAGAAGGTCAGGTGCGGCCTGGTGTCAGCTGCAGGGAAGCGCACAGCTGCTCACCAGTCAACGAGGAAGTATCGGAACGTGTATACTGGGCATCAGCTAGACCATAAGCAACAAATAGCTACCATTATACCTGTTCGTCAGCTGAATCTCTTCGATCGAACAGCTTACGGTTCTGAGAGCTCCTCCTGAATCAGCGCCGTGAGACCGGCCAGGTCCGTCTTCTCGTCATGGAAGCAGCGGTAGGCGAGCGTGTCGCCTCGTCCGTCCGTGAAGGGCAGCGTCGGGATATCGGCGGTCGGTTTGGCGTCCTCAGCGCGCGCATGTTCGGCGCTCATCTCCCCTCTGCGTGGTCTTTTCGAGATAGGTGTAAAGTAGTTGAACAAATATCGAGCGTCTCCGGAAATTACCTTAGCGCGCTCTCGACTCCTGTTACGCAATGTGCCGTGGACCCGGGGGAGCCAGGCACGACCGTCCACCCAAAGCCACGTGACGCGGGGTAACAGACGTAGATGGAATCTCGGCGCGACAACAACGACAGCATTGTCCACACCACCGCCGAGCATCATGGATGTCGAGGAGAAGCCGCCAAGCGCGTTCAAGGATGTGTCCTTGACGGTCGACGGATATGTCCTCGATGCGCGCAAGCTGCGCAGTATCGAGGCCGACGGAACGCTAGTGTACGAGGAGCCGTGAGTCGAACATCTGGGCTACGCTCTCCCGTGGCATGATAGTGCACGATAGGCTGTACAGACAACCTCAGCTGACGTCAGAAAACCACCACAGGCGAACGAGACGGAAACCCTCCAGAGGATCTGGGACGAGGTCCCCGGCGGCTTCCTGGACCTGACGGAGGAGGGGCTGCGAGCTGACGGCGACGAGTTCCCCGAGCCGGAGGAGGAAGTCAAGGTCGAGGAAGGGGAGAAGGGTGGTCTCATGAGTGCAGAGGACATGGAGGCACTGAGGACAGAGGTGTGCTCGAACCTGAAGTGAGTCCGGCGCCATATCGTTTCCAGCTTCGTTTACCAACACAAGCAGCTGACGGCAGTGACGCGCGTAATGAGCTATGGTTTGTTTTCGAACTCGCCAAGACGCTCGCCGCCAGCTCGGGCATGACCTCCCACCCGCCACCAGATCCGATTCCCGCCTCCGCACCCCAGCCGAAGAAGAAGAAGGGCGCCGCTGCCGCTGCTGCCGCCAGCGCAATGGCGTCCGCGGTCTCGACACCACTCCCCTCTGGGCCGGAATCCGAGCTCGTCCTCCCGGCAGGCACATACAGCACGACGCCGGGCACGGCGTCCGAGCCGCCCGTCCAGCTCCAGGCCGAGAAGCTCGAGACCGCCCTCCGTGCGCGATCACGTGCGCTCGACGAGTGCTCCAACCTCATCGACGCGGCGGTCAGCGAGCTTGAGCTGATGTCAAACGCATCAGAGCGGTTCGCGTCCGACCTCGACCAACTCCGGGGCAAGGAGCTGTGGGCGATCGTACCGAAACCAGAGTTCGGGCGTGCGTCCACCGCCCCGAATGCCCGGGCGCGCGACGTGGTGATCCCGTATGCGCTCGACGAGGCGCCGGCCGCGCTGCATGCGCGGAGCCTGGCCGCCTTCGACCTCGACCCGTCCAAGCCCGAGATGGCCTTTGGTGCGCGCTCATTCCTGCGCCTCCGCTTCCTCCTGCGCCGCGGCGCCGATGCGCCCACGTACTCCTCCGCAGTTTACGACGCGAGCAAGGAGGACGGCGCGGACGTGTGTGCGGTCCTTCGCGCGGCGCAGGCGGAGACGCTGGACGAGGACCTGTTCCACGAGCTGCGGGCTGAGGCTTTGCGCGTGGACGGCGCGCGCGTCGAGGCGACCAGCTTCACCCTCAAGGTGGGCAAGGACAAGCTGACTGCGGAACTTTACGACTCGCGCTCACCGCCGAGCACGCCCCGCGGCGAGCTCGCCGAGATGCTCCTTGCCACTGCGCGGCTGAATATGCTGCACGGCTATCGGCGGCGGAAGGCGCGCATCGTCACGGGCACGGGGGCGCCGCACCCGCCTGCGCTCGTCACGCTGTTGTCGCTGGTGCAGTTCATGGGTGCACTGGACGCGATCCGGCCCACGCTCGAGACCATAGTCGGCACGCTGAAGCAGGCGGGCCTCTCGGCGCATCTGGCCGAGCGGCACGCCTGCGCCGACCCAACCGTGAGCGAGTGTCTCATGACAGCGCGGGCCAAGTATGACGTGCTCGGCGTCGTGTTCTCCCTCGACCTGGCTCCCGGGGCAAGCGAGGCGAGCAGGAACTGGGGCGGCGCCGTCGCCGCGCACAATGCTGCCATTAGCCAGCTGGGAGGGTATGGACCGAGCACGGGCGGCAGTGGCGGGAGAGGGTTCCTCAGCGTCAACCTCACCGCCCCCGCGGCCATTACCGTCGTCGTGCCCGGCACGAGCGCATCAAGGGGCAGCCGGGGGCGTTCTATGACGAGCTGGAGAGGTGTGTCGTGCTCGGCGACAGGGGGCCGTTAACGTGAGTATATTTGGGGGTGGGGAGGGCGCCTACAGCTACTTCACGAGTCTGTTTGAGCTGACGAATCCAGACTCGAGATTCCCGCCCCACACACGAGCCTGATCGCCACAGTCGACGGGGAGCGGTACGATTCTGCCACTGCAGGCGTTGGGCTCGAGGACTGGCTCAAGAGCCTCGCAGGCGAGAACGGGTTCAGGGAGTAGACACGCAAGGGACACATGCACCGTCACACTTACTGTTGTTACCAACGCCGGGCTCAACTGTGGTTCTGTGCAGGCGGACTAGCAGTATCTCCCCCCCCCCCCCCCC